TGGTCTAGTACACCGATAGTGCTACTTGTTCATAGATGACGCTTATAATTGAATTAAGTCGTATACCGAAGAAAAGTCGTATACCGAGCAAAATTTGTTTCGTCCAAACAGGACGTATTCCGAATTGGACGTATTCTAAAGCAGACGTATACCGAGGTTCCACTGTATATATATAGATAATAGATATAGATTATTAACAATATTACTATTATTATTATTATCATTAATCAACGTCATAATATTTCTTTTTATATTAATTTTAATTTTCATAAAAGACGCAAAAAACTCTGCCGGATCGACTAGTTAGTGCAGGTGTAAACAGAAAAGTCGTACACAATAAAACAAGAGAGAATAGAGAGAAATTACATTACGTTGCCATATTGATTACATCCTGTCTAAGGCAAAAAAAAAAATAAACTACATTCTGCTAAAATGTGCTAGGTGCATCACCTACCACGTAGAAGCAATTTACCTCGGAATTACAAGGAATGATCAACACTCAACAGAAAGCACAACAGTATGCCGAACACGTCGCAGAAACAAAACAAGAAAGGCAGCGATAACAAAACAAACCACCACGTTACATGTAGGAGACGGAGTTTTTGTAAAAGAAGTAGTCGTCTCGCAGTAAATAAAACTAAAATTAGCACCTCGATAGTGAGGAATGTATCGAATAACAGAAGTACCAAGTCTCCTTAATTATGAAATATAAAGTCTTAAGATAAAAAAGAAGTTACGCGTTTACGCAGACCGAATCAAACCCGCAATCGATAAAAAAAAAAATTGAACTCGACAATGAAATAACGGTAGACCAAAAAGATGTATTATGGGGAGACAATGCTATAGAAACTACTGAAAGAGGACAACAATAGACTTACATAGACCCTTGGGACAAATTTATCTTGACTTTTATAACTACTCCTCAATTGAAAGAACATCCAGAACAGGAAAACAATGAGGAAAGTTACCTAGAAATAGAAACTGATGGCTAAAATAAAACCTGTCTATGGCGGACAACTTATTGTGATGGACAACAACCTGAATTGGGAGAACACTAAACTTTTCTTTAAATGGTATCTTCACCTGATAATTCTTTGCAGGGGAAAGTGACTCGCGATTTGACAATTCTGCAAGGCCTCGAGAATTTGAAGCCTCGAATTTAGAGAGTCAACTTTACTATACAGTAGATCCCCCTATAAGACGGTAGATACGTTCCGTTCTTTATGAATCAATTTTGTAGGAATCATAGTTTACGGACTACGGCTGTTTGAAAGGTTTTCTTTCATAAAATTAATCGATTCTAGACTAATTCGACTCAACATTTCCAAAATACGTATATTTTTTTGAAAATAATCCGTATAAACTACGTTATAAACAAAAAATTGTAGGATTACTTACCGAGTGTGTACCCTTTGACTACGCTCGTTGCTAAAGCTTGGTTTCGTCGCGGAACAGCGCATCAAATTGCGGCCGCGATTTCTGATATTATTTTTCTGCGAAAACTTCGTTGACCTTTGGAGACATCATTAATATAAATAATTTTTATGGCCGTTAAATAAGAAATGTTTCTTTCACAAGAAATGTATAAAATTACAGTACTAAACAGACGATAGGTCGCCTAACTCGCCGTAGCGTGACGCTAGACGGCGAAAAATATATATTTAATTATAATAAAGTTACAATAAATTAAGTTAATATATAATTATATATACAGTACCTAATTTATATATAATTAATATATAATTATATGTACAGTACCTAATTTATATATAATTTATATAATACTGTCCAGACGATAGAAATCTCTCCGTAGCGTGGCGCTACGGACGGCGGGTAAGTAGTTCGGCTGCCCGATGACGTTTTACGTATTATAGGAGTTATTTTTACCGTTGTTTACGGATAATGCCACAATTTTTATAGGAATCATAACTATAGGAAACGCTTTTATAGGGGGATCTACTGTACTATGAATTTGCTAAATTTGAGCCTCACCGATTTTTCACTGAGATTACTACAACTAACAGACAGGTTAGATAAAAGTATTTTTATCATAGACTCTTTTCTTCTTAATTGATTTGTCTCATGCAAATTATTGTGTAAACCCCTACACTGCTCGCCTGAGATTCGTCGCAAAAATAAACACTGAATTCCCTATTGTTTTTTCCTGATTGTTGGTTGTAATGGCCGTACCCAAAGGAGTCAGCGCCTTCCAAATTATATCTGCACTTTTCAAGTCGTGTACACTTTGAAGATCGGCTGTGTAAGAAGGGTGGCGATTGCTTTTTCACTAACCATGGCTGGAAGCCAATATTTTCATTTGGATTCTTATTATAAAATGCATATTATTAGGCGGAAAATAGAGGAGAAATAGGCAGAGTCTTCTCCCCGAGTTAAGTTAAAACCAAAAGAAAGTACCCAAAGGAGTCAGCGCCTTCCAAATTATATCTGCACTTTTCAAGTCGTGTACACTTTGAAGATCGGCTGTGTAAGAAGGGTGGCGATTGC